GGAAAAATTGGGAATTTTGGGGGAAATTTGGGGACTTTTGGGGGGAATTTTGGGGGAAAAATTGGGGAATTTTGGGGAAAAATTGGGAATTTTGGGGGAAATTTGGGGACTTTTGGGGGGAATTTTGGGGGAAAAATTGGGGAATTTTGGGGAAAAATTGGGAATTTTGGGGGAAATTTGGGGACTTTTGGGGGGAATTTTGGGGGAAAAATTGGGGAATTTTGGGGAAAAATTGGGAATTTTGGGGGAAATTTGGGGACTTTTGGGGGGAATTTTGGGGGAAAAATTGGGGAATTTTGGGGGAATTTGGGGAATTTTGGGGGAAATTTGGGAATTTTTGGGGGAGATCTGTGGAATTTTGGGAAATTTTGGGATCTTTGGGGTATTTGGGAATTTTGGGGGGTTTAGGGGGAGGTGGGTGGGGAAATTTGGGGATTTTGGGAATTTTGGGGAAATTTGGGAATTTTTCGGGGGAATTTGGGGATTTTGGGGGGTTTTGGGGGGGTTTGAGGAAAATTTTGGCATTTTTGGGGTTTTAGAGAGATTGGACGATTTTGGGGTCGATTTTGGGGAGAATTTAAGGGGCTTTGGGGCGATTTTGGGGGAGTTTTGGGTGGATCTTAAAGAGAAATTTTGGGGGAAATTTTGGCTGATTTGGGGAAAAATTTGGGAGGAATTTTGGGGTGATTTGGGTCAATTTTGGGGGATTTTTGAGGGAATTTAGGGAAGGAATTTTGGTCGATTTTGGGGGATTTTTGAGGGAATTTGGGGAGGAATTTTGGGCTGATTTGGGGCAATTTTGGGGCATTTTTGAGAGAATTTGGGGAGGATTTTTGGGTCGATTTTGGTCAATTTTGGGGGTCTCCCCTCCCCCCTCCCAGATCCGCCAGTCGCTCCGGGGAGAGGAAGAAGAGCAAGAAGAAGAAGCACAGGTGAGAGGGGGCGTGGCCTAACCCGTGTGGGCGTGGCCTAACCCGGGATGGGCGTGGCCAAACCCCGAATGGGCGTGGCCCAGCAAAAAAAAAGGGGGCGTGGCCTCACCAAACCCCTCCCCCACAGGTCGGAATCGGAGGCCAAGAAGCGAAAGCACCGGTAAGGAGTGGGGGGAGGGGCAAACGGGGGTGTGGTCGCGGGGTGGGCGTGGCCTCTCTGATGACGTCATCACCCCCTCCCCCGCAGCTCTCCCAGCCCCAAGACCAAGCACAAGGCCAAGGAGAAGAAACGCAAGAGGTGAGGCCCCTCCCCCGCCCCCTTTTAGCCCCTCCCCCATCCCCCATCCCCCACTCACCTCTCTCCGCCCCTCCCCCC